TACAACATTTTACCACCAAACATCCTGTTTAAAAGTTTACACCCCCCTTGATTTTTATTTTATTTTTTCTCTTAATGTACATTACTCCTTCTAGAGCAGGGTTGCTGAAACTTTTTCGTATGAAGGGCCAAAAGCTAAATATCATTGAGAGGCGTGGGCTGCAGGTAAATATACCAAACTGTATTATACTATTACATAAAGTTTCCATGCATAACTTCCTAATTTATTTCATGATATTTCAAAATAAATATGAACCATTACTTTAAATCATATTAACTAATGCAGTATAACACAGTGGAGTTCAATGCTGAATACACTAGTCAAGCAGATTCTGCCTTTGACTTGATTAGCTCTCCAAAGTCTTTTCACTGTCAGGTGGACAGAGTGCATCCGGAAAGTATTCATAGCGCTTCACATTTTACACATTTTTTATGTTACAGCCTTATTCCAAAATGGATTAAATTCATTTATTTCCTCAAAATTCTACACACAATACCCCATAAAGACAATGTGAAAAAATATATATATATATTTTTTTATTGTTGCAAATTTTTAAACAAAAACCTGAGAAATCACATGTACATCAGTATTCACAGCCTTTGCTGTGAAGCTCTAAACTGAGCTCAGGTGCATTCTGTTTCCACTGATCATTCTTTGATGTTTCAGCAGCTTGATTGAACATGATTTGAAAAGGCATACACCTGTCTATATAAGGTCCCAGGGTTGACAGTGCATGTCAAAGCACAAACCAAGCATGAAGACAAAGGAATTGTCTGTAGACCTCAGAGATAGGATTGTCTTGAGGCACAAGGCTGGGGAAGGTTACAGAAAAATTTCTAATGCTCTGAGAGCTCCAATGAGCACAGTGGCCTCCATCATCCATAAGTGGAAGATGTTTGGAACCACCAGGACTCTTTCTAGAGCTGGCTGGACATCTAGGATGAGTGATCGGGGGAGAAAGGCCGTAGTCAGGGAGGTGATCAATAACCCAATGGTCACTCTGTCTGAGCTCCAGCATTCTTCTGCAGAGAGAGAAGAAACTTACAGAAGGACCACCATCTGTGCAGCAATCCACCCATCAGGCTGTATGGTAGAGTGACCAGACGGAAGCCACTCCCCTCCTAGAATTTGCCAATAGGCATCTGAAGACTTTCAGACCATAAGAAATAAAATTTTCTGGTCTGATGACACTAAAATTGAACTCTTCGGAGTGAATGTCAGGTGTTACTTTTGGAGAAAATCAGGCACCGCTCAGGCTAATACCACCCCTACAGTGAGGATGGTGGTGGCAGCATTATGCTGTGGGGATGTTTTTCAGCAGCAGGAACTGGAAGACTAGTCAGGATAGAGGGAAAGATGAATGCAGCAATGTACAGAGACCTCCTGAATGAAAATCTCTTAAACCTCAGTCTCGGGCGACGGTTCATCTTCCAGTAGGACAATGACCCAAAGCACACCACCAAAATATCAATAAAGTGACTTCACAACAACTCGGTGAATGTCCTTGAGTGGCCCAGCCAGAGTCCAGACCTAAATCCAATTAAACATCTCTGGAAAGATCTGAAAATGGCTGTACACCAACGCTTCCTATCCAACCTGATAGAGCTTGGGAGGTACTGCAAAGAGGAATGGGCACAAATTCCCAAAGACAGGTGTGCCAAGCTTGTGGCATCATATTCAAAAAGACTTGAAGCTGTAATTGCTGTCAAAGGTGCATCAACAAAGTGGTAAGCAAAGGCTGTCAATACTTCTGTACATTCGATTTTTCAGGTTTTTATTTGTAATAAATTTGCACCAATTTCAAAAAATATTTTTTCACATCGTCATTATGGGGTATTGTTTGTAATATTTTTTGGAAAGAAAAAGAATTTAATTCATTTTGAAATATGACTGTAACAAAAAACAAAAAAAAAATTGGAAAAGGTGAAGCGCTATGAATACTTTCCAGATGTACTGTACATTAAACAAAATCGGATTAATTTACACCATTTAATTGAAAAATTAAATTAGCTTTTAACAATAAACAAGACAACAAACGAACAAAGCGTTACATTAAATTTAAATTGAAAATCTAGAAACCATCCCCATCATTCCTCCGCTCTTCTCAGATGGGATAGTGGGCCAAATCAAAGGTTACCATGGGCCGACTAGTTTGAGCAGCTCTGTTATAGAGTATCAGGAAATGTTTTCATGAGTTAGTCAGCAGTTTGACAGGATGGATCTATAAGTCATATAGTAATTGTTGGGAAGGGTTTGAATATGCAGAAGATACTGGAAAACCATAGAATGTGCAGAACCTGGGAGAGTTCTTCAAACACATGACTTAAAAAAACATAGACCAACCATACATAGTCATATACCAAGCAAGTCATGACACATCATTAAAAATCAAGCATTTTAAATTCAGACTATGTCATTTAGACTATTATGTAAGTATATTTTATTCCGACATGAACCACTGATCTGGTGTGCATTTCCAAACTAAGGTTGCAAGTTGCGTTGTTACAAACATAGACTGTTGATTTGGTGTTTCCCAAATCCATCGTTCCAACAAACATTCGCAAACTGCGTTACAAACTTGTGCGCATGCAACTACACCTCTAGAGCTGTAGTTAGAAGCATAGTTCCTGGTTGTGTTCTATTCCCAGTTAACCCCCCCTCATGTTAAAAAAAGTAATTCTGGATAAAAGTACATTTATTTATTCATTAAATATTTGTATTATTAGATAGATATTTTTGAGTGAACTTGTTCTTTAAGGAAGATAAGACCATTTAACAGTCACAGTTCGGTGTTGCTGTGTGTTGCATTACACAAAAAAGATCAAAACAACAACAAAAAAATGATATACATCAGAAGGACGCAGGTGAGGGATTTTGGGGAACGTATGTACAGTTGAAGTCAGAATTATTAGCCAACCTGAATTATTAACACCTATTTATTTTTTTCCCAATTTCAGTTTAACGGAGGGAAGATTTCTTCAGCACATTTCTAATCATAATAGTTTTAATAACTCATTTCTAATAAATAATTTATTTTATCTTTGCCATGATGACAGTAAATAATATTTGACTAGACATTTTTCAAGACACTTCTATACAGCTTAAAGTGACATTTAAAGGCTTAACTAGGTTAATTAGGTTAACTAGGCAGGTTAGGGTAATTAGGCAAGTTATTGTATAACGATGGTTTGTTCTGTAGACTATCAGAAAAAAATATAGCTTAAAGGGGCTAATAATTTTGTCCTTAAAATGGAGTTTAAAAAATTTAAAACTGCTTTTATCCTAAATAAAACAATAAGACTGTCTCCAGTATAAAAAAAATATTGTCACACATACTGGTAAAATGTCCTTGCTCTGTTAAACATCATTTTGGAAATATTTAAAAAATGAAAAAAAAAAATCGAAGGGGTCTAATAATTCTGACTTTAACTGTATATACACTCACCGGCCACTTTATTAGGTACCTGCAACTGCTCATTAATGCAAATTTCTAATCAGCCAATCACATGGCACGTGAGCGGCAGTTCTGTGGGCGCAAATGCCTTGATGCCAGAGGTCAGAGGAGAATAACCAGACTGGTTCCAGCTGATAGAAAGGCAACAGTAACTCAAATACCAACTCGTTACAACCGAGGTATGCAGAAGAGCATTTCTAAACGCAGAACACATCGAAGGCGGATGAACTATAACAGCAGAAGACCACACCGGGTGCCACTTCTGTCAGCTAAAAACAGTAAACCGAGGCTACAATTCACACAGGCTCACCAAAATTGGACAACAGAAGGTTGGAAAAACATTGCCTGATCCGATGAGTCTCGATTTCTGATGCAACATTCGGATGGTCGGGTCAGAATTTGGCATCAACAACATGAAAGTATGGATCCATCCCACCTTGTATTAACGATTCAGGCTAATGGTGGTGGTGTAATGGTGTGGGAGATATTTTCTTGGCACACTTTGGGCCCATTAGTACCAATTGACACCACAGCCTACTTAAGTATTGTTGCTGATCATGTCCATCCCTTTATGAACACAGTGTACCCTGATGGCTACTTCCAGAAGGATAAAGCACCATGTGAGAAAGCGCAAATCATCTCAGACTGGTTTCTTGAACATGACAATGAGTTCACTGTACTCAAATGGCCTCCACAGTCACCTGATCTCAATCCAATAGAGCACCTTTGGGCTGTGGTGGAACGAAAGATTTGTGATGCTATCATGTCAATATGGGGCAAAGTCTGAACCTTTGCCACAAAGGATTAAGGCAGTTCTGAAGGCAAAAGGGGGTACAACCCTGAACGAGTAAGGTGTACCTAATAAAGTGGCCGGTGAGTGTATGTACAGCAAAGGGTAAATTTACTACCACAAAATTTAAGCCCACAACATTTTTATTTTCTCTGGATTAACTAATTATATGATTTATGAAACTACTGATAGAAATAGTGGAATAAATTACAGTTAATGAAAAACAAAGATGTTTTCTTGTGTTTAAACATTGTAGACAATGTCAATATTTTAAATCCAGAAGAGTTAAGAAAGCAATACTTTCAACAATATTTTCACACACACAAAAATCAGAATTGACCATTTTTTGGACTAATTGTCGTTTTCTAAACCTAAAAAAATCTCCCCTTTGCAAAATTTAAATTGGGAATAAACAAACATTAACATTTCACTTAAGCACATACCGAGTACAAACGAAGTCTCAAGTGTCTTTTTTTAAAGCTACAGCAGAGGAAATATTTTTTTTAACTGTGCGTTTCTGCTAAACATTTATTCTGTGGGTTTTAGAAATATTTTAGCAAATCTATATCATCAGAGCATGTCTAACAGGACAGGAGTTTTGTTGAGAAATTCACAAAAGAGCACGCAGAGTGTTTTTGCTATTAGATATTAGCTATTTACGGTGGAGTGCGGGACTTTTCCCCCTCTTCCATACTAAGTGCGCACCTGAAATAGGTGTGTCCTCGTGCCTGAGCCTTCAGAGGAGTGTCTCGGCTCCTTTAAGGCAGTGAGCAGTGAGCTGGGCTGTGGAGGCAGGGGAGAGAGAGGGTTATTCTCTAATGCTCTGAGGCAGAGAGGGTTAGCAGCACACGAACCAATGCGATTAAAGCGCCACGCAGGAGGAAGATGCGCCTGCTTGCAGCCTGCTGGACGGCGAGAGGTGCTCAAGAAGATGGTCTGACTCTGGGATCTCACCTTTGTTCCTGCCGCTTCAGCTTCTCCGGACTTTCTTTCCATTCCCATTTCTGATAAAACACCTATGATTTATTCTCCCCTGTTTAGTTCCTTTTCTTCCCTTTTTTTCTTAAACAAAATACTTGCTTTCCCTTGGTTTTAAATGACACACTTGAACGGCGCCGTTGCTTTTTGCTTTGAAAGTTTTCTTTCTCCTCCGCATCACCACCTGCTCTCCTGAATCGGCACCTGCATCCAGCATCCCCTCTGAAGCACGGCAGCATCCGGAGCTTTTCAAGACAATCACACCAGAACATCCGCACATCCTTCATGCGCAACGGCAGGGCGCAAAAGCGCACACGCGAGACGCACGGTGGAGATCCTCTCAAGTCATTGGCACAGGAAATCCGGACTGGCTTTTGTTTTAACCTGACCGTTGGCATTCTGAGTGGGGGATCGGGAAAAAAGCAGTGGACAAAGTGTGCGAAGTGAAAAGAGGAAAATCTAGCTTGGGGATTGAACGCAGCGGGGCATGTGGATATTGGCATTTCTCTTTCTCCAGAGCATCCTGAATGGTTAGTCTTCATTTTTTTTTCCTTCTATCGTCCTTTTGCCAAACTTCATTTACTGTACTTTCATCAGGGCATTCTAAAAAGGGTGTGCTGAAAATATGCAAATTAATTTTTAATTGTGTCACGGGTGATCACCTATGATAGTTTCCCCCCCTCATAATTATTTATATATATAATTAAAATAAAACCTCATTTGTCAGATTATGGCCTTGATGATTTCAGCACTGCGTACTGCAAAAGCTCCTTATAACGATTCCTGTGCACACACTGGGGCCTCCGGCAGGTATTGCACAGGTTTCTTGTCGTTTGCTTTACGCATGGGGAGATGTTAATGAATGTGACCTCTTGTTTATCACACCGACTGGTGTAGAAACTACTCATCCGTGCGCTTTCCATTTTCAAACTCGCACATCAGATTTTGAAAGTCTCAGTATTATTGTTGTTGTTTTTTTTTTATCCACAACGACTGACGTATTTTATATGTATGTGCTGCGCCCTATTCCAGTCGTATATCTGTTTTGAATCTGCTGTAGTTTAATTATGCAGAGCAAAAAAAGTCTTAATTTCTGAGTAGTTTTTATTTTATTTTATTTATTTGAGGCAGAGCGGTTAAGTGGTTTATTGAATAAACACAATTATCTGATGACAGATAATTAACAATATGAATGTTTAAAACATTTCAGCTGGGCAGATGAAATAATTTCATCCAGATATTGTTTATAAAATACCCCTGTTATGCACTCTGTTAATGGATTGCAGGAAAATCTAAATTAAAATGTAACCATTTTAGTTAACTCCTGTGTCAGAACACATATTATTTGCAAAAAATATCTGTCGTAAAAAACATATTATGCAATTGAATTGCTTTTTTATTTTATTGCGGATGTACAATTCAGTGAAAAAAGGTCTGTAAGAAAAATGCAGGGTGAGTAGCTGAAAAATACTACACAACGCCTTAATAGCTGTGTATGTGTGTGTGTACTTAAGGGACTGCGCCTGCGTGGATGCATGTGTGTGCAGCGAGAAATTTAAAGCTCTGTTTATATCTTTTAAGGCCGAATTTGCCTAAAGCGTGATTTTCCATCCCTGCTACCTGTTTGTAAAACTGCATCTTCTCACTAGAGTACAAACGTGTGATTCGGCATATTTGAAGAGATGGTCAGTAGGTGCAAACATGGAAGGGTGTGTACGAAAGGAGGGAGCCATGTAGGGAAAAACAGAATGGGGAAAATAGACTTATCTCCTCGAAAAATTGGAGACGGGCAGACATTGTCGATGGAAGGTTACTGCAGGATGCGCTTAAAACCCAGGGTTAATAATCGTTTTAAGAAATGGTTTGAAGATTTGATGTGAAATGGCTATTGGGCGAACGCTGGCATGAGTCTTCAACGTGAAGCTTTGAATGGCAGTCATTTTGAGGCGGCGAGGATGTTGCGAAAGAAAACAACAGAAATAATCCTGCTCTTCAGAGGAGGGAGATAAATACACCCCTGCTCTCCATGTTTGAGCTCGAAACGCTGAGCTATCTCCGAGGCTTTTCTCACTCGGGGCAAATGTGAGATAAAAAAAAAAAAAACATATTGAGATGTATTTTGTAATAACTTTGAATTGAAATTGCGCCACCCCTGCTTCAGCTGAAACTCATAAAAGAGCAGTAAGAACTCATCAGTCACCATCGCCCAACAGAGCAGACTGTGAAATGAGACGCTCCCTAGCTTTCCTCCTTCATTTATTCTTAGAAAATCAACACACACCTTCATGTGTGCAGTGTTGTCTTCTTTTGAAATTGCAACTCTTCCTTTAAAACTGTTGATATTTTAATAGTTCACCCAAAAATGAACATTCACACATCGTTTACTCGCCTGCAAGTGATCTGAAACCTTTAAAAAGAAGATATTTTGAATATTTCCTTCAAGAATAATCTATTCTAGGAAGAAAAATACTATGGAATTCATCGGCTTATAGCCTTCTTTAAAATGTCTTCTTTTGGGCTCACTCAACTCAAACAGGTTTGAGGGGAGATGAATTTAATATGCTAATTTATTAATTGTGGGAAAAGTTATGATTGTAGCTAACTATGCCTTGTGCCTTTTAGGATAGTCACAAACAACCTTCCTATTACAGGTGGCCACTTTTTTTTTCTTCTCAGAAACCAACTGTATTCTAGAAAATTCGAGCCTGTAGTCTAGAAGGTTTATCACATGCTGCTTGGCCTGTCACTATGGAAACCTCTATTATTAGAGCCATAGACGTGCATCAAATAAGGCCGTTGTGTGAATGAATGACCCCTGACAGACAATGAAAGGGCACAGGCTGAATTTGTGTCTTACTGGTTTAGCTGTTTTTATTTATTGGAGAGCAATGCTTTTTGTTATCAATGACTAGGCACACGGAATCTGCGCACGCAGTAATCTGCAGATTTAGCCAGATTTGTGGCCCAACATTGAGTCTGTTTATTTACTTGGGTAAATGTGTGTACGTTTATATCTATTCAGTTCTTTCAGTTTCGACTAATACTAGCTTCGCAATGTTATTGACTAATATGAAAGCGTTCATATGATTTATTTACAATATAGGTTGTAAAGTAATATTTTCTATCTTTTAGTGGATATATTAAATGAGAGACTTGCTTTGTTCAACACATAAATGGCTCTAAATTGATTTGCATTATAAAAATTAAAAGCTATTATTTTTTATTTAACATATCAGGTTTTTAGTTACGATACTGCCAAAATAATTCAGCATAAATCCACAGATTATTTTACAAAATTCTTTGCTGAAATCGCATTTCCTATTATGAATTTGATTTCAGTCCTTTATTCAGTCATTCAGTAAAAAAAAAAAAATAAATAAATAAATAAATATATATATATATAATAATATATATATATATATATATATATATAATTTGTTTGTAGCATTGTTTAACTTAGATGTGTTCAAACTGGGATCACCAAGACCACCAGGGGGCCACATGGTAGTGCTAGGGGGTCAGTTGAAATGTTTAAAAGATAATCAGTATTATGCATATGAATAATGCCAAAATGAATACACACTGTAAAAAATGCAGGCTTCCACACAATTCATTCATTTTGTCCCAACGGAAATTGATTAATTTAACACTTTTAACAAATTTAGGTGGATTGAACATAAAAAAATTAAGTTGTCCCAATGAAATCTCAAGAATTGTGTTGTTTCAGCTCATTTTGAAAAAGTAGTGTGAAAAAAGCAAAAAAAATAAATAAATTGAGTGTAGTAAACAAATACTCGCTGAAAAAAAAACTGCTGCTTGAAAGACTTAAAATGAGCTGAAACAACCCAATTTTGGAGGTCAACTTCATGGTTTTATGTTCACTCCACTTAAATTTGTAAAAACTAATAATTTAACTCGCAGTGCACAGCAGTACAAAATGACTAATGAAGAATACTTATTATAAAATAATAAGTATATAATGAATAACAATATTTAATTCGATTCATATTTATCTCTATAGTGCTTTTACGTTGTATATTGTGTTAAAGCAGCTTAACATAGAAGTTCTAGTAAATTGAAACTGTGTCAGTCCAGTTTTCAGAGTTGAAGTTCAGTTAATTATTATTATTATTTTTATTTTATGTGCTTGCTTTTTTAACAGAGACAATAGACTTGACATTGACAACCGATGTCACGTACAGTTGAAGTCAGAATTATTAGCCCCCTTTTGAATTTTTTCATTCTGTTTTAAAAATATTCCAAATGATGTTTAACAGAGCGAGGAAATTTTCACAGTATGTCTGATAATATCTTTTCTTCTGGAGAAAGTCTTATTTGTTTTATTTCCGCTAAAATAAAAGCAGTTTTTAATTTTTTAAACACCATTTTAAGGTCAAAATTATTAGCCCCTTTAAGCTATGCTTTTCCCGATAGTCTATAACAAACCATAGTTATACAGTAACTAGCCTAATTACCCTTTCCTGCCTAGTTAACCTAATTCACCCAGTTAAGCCTTTAAATGTCACTTTAAGCTGTATAGAAGTGTCTTGAAAAACATCTAGTCAAATATTATTTACTGTCATCATGGCAAAGATAAAATAAATCAGTTATTAGAGATTACTAGTTATTAAAACTATTATGTTTAGAAATGTGCTGAAAAAAATCTGCTCTCTGTTGTATCGAAATTGGGGGGGGAAATAAATGGGCTAATTATTCAGAAGGGCTAATAATTCTGATTTCAATTGTACATACTGTACAAAGATTTGCACAGATTTGTAGCTAATTTGCAGTCCTCATCCCTGGTTAGGCTTTACATTAAAAAAAATAAACAAACAAGAAAAAAGCACAATACAACAAACATGTACAGTATATACAGAGCAACAAAGATAAAATGTAAGTCAATCTGCATACTAAAGAGAAATGTAAGCCTGACCAACCTGAAAGAATAATACTTAATGTTCACATTGCTGTAAAGATTTTAACTATTCTTTCAGCTTTACAAAAAACAAAACAAAAACAAAAACTGGGAGTTCTGATTGTACATTTAATTCAACAGTGTGGTTTAATACATAATTGAATACACGATTAGAATGAATACAAATTTAATTAAAGAAAGGAAAATTGCATATTAGATTTTAAAAATAAAGTAAATAAATATGGAAATTGATGAATGCAATGTTGTAACTAAATATTTGTCCCTTATGAGTATATATATAAGTCAGAATTATTAGCCCCCTGATCATTTTTTTTTCTCCAATTACTGTTTAAATGAGAAAAAAATTTTCAATACATTTTTAGACATAATAGTTTTACTCATTTCTAATAACTTATTTTATCTTTGCCATGATGACAGTAAATAATAATCGTTTAGATATTTTTCAAGTCACTTATATACAGCTTAAAGTAACATTTAAAGACTTAACTAGGGTGATTAGGTTAACTAGGCAGGTGAGGGTAATTAGGCAAGCTATTGTATAATGATGGACTGTTCTGTAGACTATCGGAAAAACAAATAGCTTAAAGGGGCTAA